GCTCATATGGCACATATTAATGACAGTTCATGCCCTGAACGGTCCATTTAGTTCCTAAAATCCTCCTTCCATGAGGTGTTATGTTGTGATTCAGGATTTCATTGGTGTCTGTCTTAACAGAACATCTTATGACAGTTTTTCCCTCACAACCTAGCAGTATTTCAGCCAAGTAGGGAACATGAGATTTTTTTTAAAGCCTTTATATGCGATCCCTGTATGTGTGAGAGTTTATCATTTGTTCAAGGTGCTAGCCAGTTTGATAAATGCAATAGAGGCCAGAGAGCACCAAAAAGACAAGAGACCTCCCTCTCATGTTGGAGCAGGATCATTAAACCAAGAGATTAACTAATTACAGGGAACAGAGAATAAGCACGTAGTGATTAGGGATGCTCCTTACAGGGTTAAAACAAGGAATTAAGAGGGGGACACCTGGCCAGGAAACCAGAGTAGTGCTCATTGCTCCAGGAAAGTTCATAGACTTCATAGATTTCATAGACATTAGGGCTGGAAGGGACCTCATGAGATCATTGGGTCCAGTCCCCTGCCCAAGGGCAGGAAGTCAGCTAGGGTCAAAGGATGCCATCAAGATAAGTGTCCAAACGTTTCTTGAAAGTGTCTAGAGTAGGTGCTTGCACCACCTCTGGGGGGCGTCTATTCCAGGCCTTGGGGGTTCAGACAGTAAATAAGTTTTTCCTTATGTCCAGCCTAAAATGGTCTTGCAGGAGTTTGTGGACATTGGAATTTGTCATCCCCTGGGGTGCTCTGGTGAACAGGTGTTCCCCCTGATCCTGATGCACACCCCGTATGTACTTATAGGCTGCCACCAAGTCACCCCAAGCCTGCGCTTCTCCAGGCTGAAGAGTCCCACAGCTTGCAGCCTCTCTTCATAAGGCCTAGTGGCAGGGCACTGTTGGCACTGGATCAGGCATCCAGCAGGTGCCTGATGGCGGCAGCCATTTTGAAAACCTAATATATAAGGACTGCAGTCTGCTGCTGCCAGCCCAGGCAGAAACATCTCCTAGCTGAGCTGCATCAGGAACAACCCAGGAGGTAAGGGCAAGAGCTGATGGGGATGGATAGGAGGCTCTTGGTCCTGGCTATGACCTAAAACTGCACCTTGCCAGGGATGGGTGGCCTGGTGGGGCTCCTAGTGGCATGGGAGCCCCCAGGAAATGCCAGGCCAGTTCCTACCTCGGTGAAAGGTGAGTTGGGATGCCTTAATAACCCCAGCTCCCACAACCAGGTGGGTAACCCCATAATAAGGCCAAGAAGGTGGACCTATGAGAGAGAGTGGGCTAGATGCTCAAGAAACCTGACTTGAGGCACCCTCGACTGAACAATGCTGGGGTCAGGACCAGAACGGCCAGGGGCGCACTGTAAGGGATGCCCAGAGCTGAGGGCCTGGGGTGCTGACTGGCCTTGAAGGTGAGGCCAGGGCCTGTGTGGCCAAAGGTCCCGGGGGGGGGGGCATGCTCAAGAGGGGGAAGAGCAGAGGGAGCTAGGTAGCCCAAAATGAGGGCAGAGTAGGCTGCCTGAGTGGAGGGTTCCAGTTGGGGTCCAGACTGGAGGATTATGGGGCCCAGTATGGAGCTGGAGACATTAAGAACTGTGATGCCACCTGCAAGGCATGGGCTGTGGTGT